TCATGAGCGGAAAGGAGGGAGAAGGATCCAGATTTGGTCTGAGGCAGGGCCAGGCCAGAGTCTAGGGTCTCAGAATCATTATAAGAATAGTTCTAGGGACTTCCCTGGCAGTCAGTCCAGTGGTTAATACTCTGAGCTTCCACTGCAGGGGGTGTGGGTTCGATCCCTGGTTCAAGGAACTAAGATCCAGCATGCCATGCGGTGCGGCCAAAAAAAAAAAAAATGTATAGTTCTAATAGCTCCTGTTAATTGTGCATATACCATGTGCCAGGCACTGTACTTCATGTTTTATAGTTATACTGTTTTTATATTTATACTGTCATTTACAAACATAACTATATTTATATTTATACTGCTGTATTTATCCAATATCACAATTAAGTATTTATAAATAATTATATGAATTGTTCCTAATGTTTTTGAATAATATTCTATTATTTATCAATTACATAGTAATTTTTTTTTTTTTTTTTTCGGTACGCGGGCCTCTCACCGTTGTGGCCTCTCCCGTTGCGGAGCACAGGCTCCGGACGCGCAGGCTCAGCGGCCACGGCTCACGGGCGCAGCCGCTCCACGGCATGTGGGATCTTCCCGGACCGGGGCACGAACCCGTGTCCCCTGCATCGGCAGGCGGACTCTCAACCACTGTGCCACCAGGGAAGCCCCATAGTAATTTTTAATTATCATTTTCTATTATCCCATTGAAGGTAGGAAGAAAAGTTCAGAGAGGTGAGTTCACTTGCCCGAGGTCATTCAGCAAGGTGACAGAGTCAAAATTTGTACCTAGTTCCAAGTGTTTCCGGCCTTTGGCTCGTGACCATTGCATTACCCTGGTCAAGGCGGAAGACGGCATCTGGGGGACCAGGAGGGAGCAGTGTTAGCTGGGTGGCCGTGCATAATAGCAGATTGTTGTCGGTGTCGCGTTGTGCTGGTGTGTGTTTATTGAGCCTTTAATGTGTGCCAGGCACCGTGCTAAAGGCTTTCACAAGAATATGGCAAGTGCTCATATGGCATTTAGCAAGGGCCCTACTCTAAGTACTGTTATGTGGATTAATTCATTTACTCCTTATATCAGCGTCCTGAGGTGGATACCGTCCTTGTCTCCATGAGGCCCTGAGGTGGCATCATGTGTGAAAGCTCGTGGAGGAGCTGGGATCTGGCTCCAGGCAGCCTGGCTCCATAAGCTGTTCCTTTAGCCCCCATACTTTCTATTATCCCTTGTACTCTTCACAACAATCCTATAGTGTAGGAAGAAATATCACCCATTTTACAGATGAGGAAACTGAGGCCCAGACTTGGACTCACCCACAGAGCCACAGACTTGAACCACTGTCTGTCTGACCAGCTCATCCACACACCTGACCCTGTTCCTGTCTGGTGGGAGGCCAGGAACTCCAAAGAGCCTCTGAAGGGCCTTGGCCAGACTCCCAGATGCCAGGGGCCCTGTCTCTCCCTGAGGTCCCAGCCTCCCTAACCTTCTTGTGCAGCTCCTTAACTTTGCCTTTGGCTTGTGCCATTTCAGCTTGCTGATTAGTAAGCAGTCATGTTAACAAAAATTGTCTATTTTCCCCCAGATTAGGTTTTTATTTGTTTGTTTGTTGCTCTACAAAAGGTTTAAGTTTTGTACAGTTCAAAAGGTCCTTTGTTTGTATTATAGATGCAAGATTTCCAATCTTGGTTAAGAGAATCTCCTAGCTCCTTGGGAGTGGGAATGCCGGGCAGTGGAGTGGGGGGGAGGCAGCCTCTTCTTCCTTCTCTCTCCCCCTCCTTGGCTTGTCTTTCTTGGAGTGGGGACTGGGGGCGGGGTTGTTTGATATCTTCTTGTCAATTTATAAGCCCTCTTTATATATTATAGCTACTAATTCTACGCCGTCCCAAGTGTTGCAGAATTTTCCCCAAGCCTTTTGTACATTGCCTTGCAATGGTTTTTGTTATGCAAATATGTCTAATATCTTAAGATTGGTTAGGAAGATCTCCTGCTCCTGGGGAGGTGGAGGGGGTCCCCCTCCCCATCTCCCCTCTCCCCCCTCTTCCTTCCCCTCCAGGGTCTCTCTCTCCTTATCTCCAGCTGTTCTATTCCCAAGGGCCTGCCTCCCGGGAAGGGGACCTGCCCAGCGTGGAGGCCCAGCTCCCCTCCCCCTCTTTGGGTCTCTTGGTATTTGGAAGGGGGTTGTCCATTCCTTGTCAGTTTTTAAGAGCTTCTCCTCCTTATAACTTTTTTTTTTTTTTTTTTTTTTTTTTTGCGGTGCGCGGGCCTCTCACTGCTGTGGCCTCTCCCATTGCGGAGCACGGCCTCCGGGCGTGCAGGCTCAGCGGCCATGGCTCACGGGCCCAGCTGCTCCACGGCATGTGGGATCTTTCCGGACTGGGGCACGAACCCGTGTCCCCTGCATCGGCAGGCGGACCCTCAACCACTGAGCCACCAGGGAAGCCCCTCCCTATAACTATTAACTCTATGCTACCTTCTGTATTACAAGCCACTGGTCCTGTCATTTGCCACATTAAATCTTAAGCTGCTGAGTTTTATACAAATAAGTCCGTCTTGTATTCATCTGTTGTGGGTTTCCGACCTAGGTTGGGAAGACTCCCCACTCCTAAGCGCCCTCCTCTTCCCTCCCTAAGTCCTTATCTCGCAGCTTTTCCCTTCCCACGGGTCAGGAGCATAAAAGCGCGGGAGGGCGCTGCCCTGCAGTGTCAACATGTCCCCTCTGTGCTCACTGCTGCTGGCCGTGGCCCTGGCGGCCGTCCCCGGCGTCCGAGGCAACTGCCCGGAGCCCGCCAGCCTCAAGAAACCCGACGGGACGCGCACGTGCGCCAAGCTCTACGAAAAGAGCGACTCCTACTACGAAAACTGCTGCGGCGGCGCCGAGCTGTCGGTGGAGCCGGGCACCGACCTGCCCTACCTGCCCTCTGGCTGGAACAACGCCATCTCGTCCGCCGTGGTGGCCCCGCGCTGCGAGCTCGTCGTGTGGTCCTCTCGCGGCAAGGGCGGCAAGACGCGCAAATTCTCCTCCGGCACCTACCCGCGCCTGGAAGAGTACCGCCTCGGCATCTTCGGGGACTGGTCCAACTCCATCTCCGCGCTCTACTGCAGGTGCCTGCCCGCTGGCCCGCGCGCCTAGGGACTCGGCCCTCCAGTCCGCACATCCACCTGCTTAGTTCCCAACAGAGCACCCGGGCTCCAGCCCCATCATCCAGACCACTGAGCCTCTGACCCAAATTGGGCATCCTTAGAACCAGTCCAGGAGGTCCCCCTTCTCACCCACGCCCCCTCCCCCAAGCCCATGCCCCTTGGATCTCCCTGACCCAACTCTGGGATTCCCAGGCTCAGAAGCTGACCCAGTAATCCAGCCTCCATTCTGGGAGCACCCTCTCCAACCTCAGATCCCAGAGCTCTCAGACCCAACTCTGGGACTCCCAGATTCTAAACCTGACCCAGACCTCAAGACCCCAGACCTCATTCTAGGATTTACCCTATCTAGCCCTCATGCTCCACCCCCCTAGACCCTCTAGATCAGCCTTGGCCCCAGAAACCAGTTCCAGAGCCCCTGTTAAGGTTCTGAAGCCCCCAGACCCAACTTGGAGGCCCCTGAGCCCACCCTGGACTCACATATCCAAGCTCACAGACCCGGGGGCCCTAAATGTAGCCAGGGCACCCTCTAAAACCACCCCACCTGTCCCTCTAACCCCAAGAACTCCAAGAGCCTCCAGCCCCAAACTTCCAGGCCAGGATGTCTAGCTCCTGAACTTGGAGTCCAGCCCGGGACCCCCACCCCATTTCAGGCTTCTAGAATCCCTCCCACCTGGCACCCCCTGGTAATAATCTTTGATTCTGTGGCAGGTGCTACTGATACCTTAGCAATCCCTCATCTCCATCCCCCGCAAAGCGCTGAGCCCCTCACCTGGCCTTGTCCGTGGGGTCTGCTGAAGTCCGCAAGACCCAGAAGAGAGCTCACCGCCTGCCTCCACCACCCTTCCTTCCCTGTAATACAACTGTTATGAACTTGTCCCTGTCTGCCATCTATTGCTGCCTGGGACCCAAGCCCATGCAGATGCGGGTCAGGATGGAGGAGAGAGCAGGGTGGTCAGGCCTGGGTCAGCCCATACTTGGGACAATGCCGTGGATGGGGACACACCCATAGATTCCGACATGGGTTTAGGTGTGGACACCCCCCCACACACAGGACATCTGGGTGACATGCCATGGTACTGCCGGTTGATTGTTAAACATTGAAATGCTTCCCACACTTTTTGATGGCTAGCCCTTCTCTGAATGCCCCCCAGCTGTTCAGGCGTGCCGGGACCTCCAGACTCCCTCAGGATTTATGAATAGGACAGTAGGAGGCCTTCAAGGACCCTGCTCCAGGCTAGGGCCAGGGTCCGTTTTGCAATCTGGTCACAGCCCAGGACTTATGGGTTGTGAAGTGCTTTCAGTGCCCCTCTACCCAACACATGGAGAACACTTTAGTTCTAATTTGTGTATTTTTGAAAATTCGAATTTGCAATTTACTACTCCCAAGGAGCAGGGCCCTTGATGGGTACCTGGGTTTGGGCGCTCTGGAAGAGTGAGGGATGAGAAATGAGGGGTCTTGGGGGGAGAAGAAGTAGGGGGACAGCTCTGGGGGATGATAACTTGGGATTGGAGGAGGAGGGGAATCTGGGGGGATTCTGAGTTAAGAGACATGGGAGAAGAGGTAAGTGGAGAGGCTACGAGGCCATAAATTGGGGATATGTGAAGAGATCAGAGGTCAACGGAGGTACTGGAGGATCAAGGATTAGAGGATGTGCAAGTTGGAAAGTGGGAAATGAACACAGTGAAGTTTTTTTCTTTTTCTGGCCACCACGCACGGGTATGTGGTATCTTAGTTCCCCTACCAGGGCTCGAACCTGCGCCCCCTGCAGTGGAAGCGCAGAGTCTTAAACACTGGACCGCCAGGGAAGTCCCTTGGTGAAGTTCTAAGGATCAAACACCACGGAAATAATCAGCATCCTTGGGCACATGTATTTATTCATTCAGTCAGCAAAGATTTATTGAGCCCCTACTATCTGTCAAGCACTGACTCAGGAAGAAGTGGCCACTGCCCTCATGGAAAATGCCAGAGAGTCAGACATTCAAAGATGTGTGAAGATGTCAAATGAGAAACCGAGGGTCAGGCAGGATTACGGGGGCATAGGAGGTGGTACGTGATCCAAGAGCAGCTGAGGGGTCGTGAAGGTCTAGAGGGAGCAGGGAGGTGCTCAGGGAACACGGTAAGCTTAAGGGTCAAGGAGGGGCCAAGGGTTAGGGACTTCTAAGGGTCAGGGAGCTGCTACGGGGTCAGAGAGACGCTAAGACGTCAGAAGTGATAAAGGAGCAAGAAGATGCTAAGGGCTCAGGGAGGTGTCAAGGGGTGGATGGATATGACAAGGGGTCAGAATGGGCCCGGAGCCAGCCAATCACTCCCTGAACTGCACAGACACAGAGGAGTCGGTCACCCTCGTCCGCAGCAGCCCACCGTGCTCCATCCGGTTCTTGGTCTTGTGCAGGAAGTGGACAAAGCGGACGCCAGGGCCGTACTGGCGGAATACGTGGGACACCTGGGGCAGCACCAGGGTCAGGAAGAAGTTCTTATGAGGGACCCATAAACCCTGCTCTCCTCCCTCTGTGAGGTCTTGGGATGCGAAAGCACGTGTGCGGGTGGCAGATGGGGTAGGGAGTCTCACCTGGACCCAGTGGCCAGGGGGGCCTCTCCCAGAGGTCCGGGGGGCCACGTGGTGCTGGGCGACGACTGTGCGGCGGTCAGCTGCCAGCAGCCAGACGTGCAGCTCATACACACACACGTCCAGTCGGCTGTCCTCATACCTGGGGGTGGGGGCCAGGCCTTCAGCTGCCTCCACTGCCCCTACCTCCCAGCCCCAAACCCTGGCTCAGCCGCCTGTCAACACACACTCCCTGGCACCCACTTTGTGCACCGGGGCTGGGGGTGCTAGCGCAACAGCAGGGACCAAGACAACCCCACCCCCCACCCTCATGGGATTCACGGTCCGGTGGGGGAGGCGGACATGTCACCAGGCAGTGACAAGCAGGAATGGTCAGGGCCGAGATGGGGGAAATCCAGGGCCCCGGAGGGTAACGCATCTGACACAACCTGGGGGCGGCCAGGGGAAGGCTTCCTGGTGGAGCCACATGTACCGACTCCTGAAGGAGACGGGGGACTTCGCCTCAAGAAAAGAGGGTGGCCACATCCGAGGAAGAAGGAACAGCCTCTGGGCTGGCACACTGCAAGAACGGACTCAGAGAGAAGGGGCCACAGAGGTGGGCAGGGCTGGGTCCTGCAGCGGCAGGAGGGTCTCTGGGAGGATGGCGTGAGGCTGGCGCTTCGGGGAGCACCTGTGTGCGACCTGGCTGGGCAGGCCGGTGGTGCAGAGGCACATACCAGTCCATGACCGTGATGTTTGGCTGCTCAACGTCGAGCAGCTCCTCCCACAAGCCCTCCGCCAGAAGGTCCACACTCTGCTGCTTCACGGTCCAGCTGTGAGAGACAGCACGGGGGAGGCGGGGTCTGCCATCTGCCGGGATTCTCCCAGGCCAGCCTGGCCCCAGCAAGCAGGGCACCCTGATCATTGCACCCTGGAAGTGATGTCAAGGGTACCGGCATAAGGGCACTGAGAGCTCACTCAGCCTACTTCACGGCCTCAGTTCCCATGAACTCCTCTGAAGGTAATGCATCCTGAGCCCCGTGTTGCAGATGGGGAAAACGAGGCCCACAAAGGGAAGTGACGTGTCAAGATCGAGCAGCAAAGAAGTGGCAGAGCTGGGATCCCAACCCAGGTGCCTGTGACTCTGAGCTTCTGAGGTGCACCATCCCACCCACCGTTCAGAAGCAGGGCCTGGTTTAATGGCGGATAGCTGGTGGCCTGGGTGACCCTCCCCCTCCTACGGAAAGAGGCTGAGCATAGGAACAATAGTAACTGCTATTTAACACCTACTATGTGCAGGCTACTCCCAGCGAGCCAGGCGTGTGTTTTATGGGCATGCTCTTATGACTAACCCTGTTTACGGAGCAGAAGACTAGGGCCCAGAAAGGCAGACTGTTTCTCCAGGTCCCACAGCGAGGAAGGCCGGAACAAGGAATCACAGGCAGGCCACCGTGGGTCCCGGCCACTCACCTGAGGCCCTGCTGGAGCTTCTCCGTCTTAATGTGCCAGCCTCGGAAATTACCTGGCGGGTGGACGAGCAAAGGATTAGAATGTGCCCATTCTCCAGGGCCAGCCCCTCAGCACCGGGCTAGCCACAAAGCGCTTACCCAGAGTCTCCAGGGGTTGCTGTGTGGGACCAGTAGGGGGCGCTGGCTCATAAATGTTGATGCCTGAAATGCGCAGGGAAGCAGAGCCTCAGGCGCGCTGAAGCTGCCCCGCTTCCGAATGCTCCCCACTTTCTAACCCCAGGGCAGGTTGGAAGAGCAGGAATCAGTGCCCTGCCTGCCAGACCAGACCAGCCAGGCAGGGGTGAGTGGTGAGTCATGGCCCTGGGAGAGCCCTGAGAATGTCCTGGGGGCAGAGGGACAATGCTTGGAGAGGGAGGGCGTTGTGGTGAGACAGAGACAGAGGGACAGAGAGAGAGGCACCAAGAAAAAGAGATAGAATATGGGCCGAGGGAGGGAGGGAGAGATACGGGGTGAGACAAAGAGACACAGGGAGAGATAGACGGAGACACATGACGTAGAAAGAAACAGAGACGCAGGTGGGACAAAGAGACACAAGGAGACAGAGAGAGGCACAATGACAAAAAGGGACAGAGAGGGATGTAGAGGAATAAAAAGACAGAGGCACACTAATAGACAACGACGGAGAAACAGAGTAGAGAGACAAGCAAACAGACGGAAAGAAGAGACAGACGGTCTGGGTGAGTGAGCCTGGGGAAAGAAGGCGGAGACGTCTCCAGCTCCGCGCGGACTTCTGTCCCGCACCTTCGGGGTTGGGAGAGCGGAGCAGGTTGCGGTAGAGCGGCCGCTGCAGGAAGAGAAGCTTCCAGGTGAGGCGCGGGGGCAGCTCCAGGCTCCCTCCCGGCGGCGCCCATTCCTGTAGCAGCAGCTGCTGTGCATAGCCCTCGGTCGGCTGCTCAGGCACCGGGAGCCCGGGGGTCTCGGGGGCCGCGGGCGACGGCGGCGACGGGGGCGGGGGCGGCGACGGCAGCTCCTGGGTGCTCGAGGGTTCCTGCATCCCGCCACCGAGCGCTGGTCCTTCCCGCACCTCCTCCATCCGTCGGGTCTGGGCGACTGTCCCGGCTCCTCTGCAGGGCTCGGTGTTAACCCAGGGCGGGAGAGGGCGGAGCGCCTCGGCTGGCATTTAAGCGAAGGGTGTGTTGGGGGAAGGCTCTGGAGCCCCAGGCCCGACTCCCTCAGATCCAGCAGTCCAGGTCACAGCGCCTCCTTTTCCCAGACTGTAGAAGTCCGGGTCCCGGCCCTGCTCCGTTTCCCAAGCCTCCTGCCCCAGTTTCCCCAGGGCCAGTTGAGGACCCAGACACCAGCCCTGGGAGAGGGGTGGGACCAAGGTGCTAATGCCAGGGCTCCGGGGCACATCCACCTCTTTAAGATCCCACATGGCAGGATTAGAGGTTAATTAATGAAGCCCCCCTCTTCCCATCCCCGTCAGCTAGGCAGTAAGGGGTGGGGGCTGGGAGGGTAGGTCCTCTGCCAGTTCATCCTCTGCCCTGACATGGGACACAACCTTGGGACCTGACATTTCCTGTTCTGGAAACATAGTGGGGGTGCAGTGGAGGTCAGAGAGAGACCTGGAGCCTGAGATGGGGAGTCACAGAGATGGGGAACATCAGGGAGACACTGAGATAGCACCAGAGAGGGAAGCAGCAACCCCTTCTGGGTATCAGGGTGCCTTGCATCCCTTCCTGGGGCTGGGGCAGGTGGCACAGCTGCCAAAGCTTCCTCCCTCGGAGGTCATAGGGAGTTTGGAGTGAGGGCTGGAGTGATGGTAGGGGTAGGAGGTCGGGGTGCAGAGGAAGTGGGGTGGCAGAGGAACCTGTAGGGCCAGACACCCACAGCCACTTTCTGCCCGTGCCACATCCCACACCCGGCCCCGGTAAGCACAGGCTCAGAGTCCCACACAGGTTACCAGTAACAAGTGCCACAGTGAGAGATTTCTGCTTGCTAGGTGCTGTCCTAAGCGCTTACAAGTTCATTTCATCCTCTAACGACGTAGGTGTTACTATTTGTGGGCATTTTACAGGTAAAAGAAAGAATAGAGAACGTGTGTGGAGCTGCATGTCGGCCCAAGCGCTCCAGCATCCGCCTGCACACCAACCCTGAGTGGGGAACTGTTGTTATCCCCATTTCACGGATGAGGAAACAGAGTCCCACCTCACAGGCCTGGTCCCATACTGCCCCAGATAACTCCATATGCTTCCATGGGTGCCTCCTGCCTCAGATTCCCACAAGACCCTGAGAGACACATACTGCAGACATACAGAATTGAGCTCACACCGGAATGATGATGCTTGAGGAAACTGAGACTCAGAGAGGTCTAGTAACTCACCCAAGGTTGCACAGCTGGTGTGTGGCAAGCTGGACACAGAATCTCAGTGAGATACACAGGGATTCAGATTCAAACTGCCCCTAGAGAGAAACACTGGCTCAACACAGAAACAGACAGGAGAAAATGGTTACATTTATTGTCTGTCTTTAACTCATTAAATCTTACAACCCTGGGAGGTGGGAACTGGTAATAGTACCTCCATTGACAGATTGGGGAACTGAGGCAAGAGAGGTGAAGTGACCTATCCTGGGAAACTTGGGAATTAGCCAGGGCCCTGGGAGGAGGGAGGACCCATGGAAGCGGGCAAACCAACGAATGTGCAATAGCCCCGCTGCACCTGGAAGTCTCCAGGAGAGTCCCAAACACTCGCAGAGCCCACAACACACGCACAACCAGAAATACTCCCTTGGCCACCACAAGCGCACAAACCCACAGCCTTGTCTGGCTGGCTGCCCACCTGTCTTCATTGGAGGAGGGGGAGGGGGAGGGGAAAAGAGGGGGAGGGGAGGGGAGGGGAGGGGGAAAAGAGGGGGAGGGGGAAAAGAGGGGGAGGGGGAGGAGGAAAGGACAGAGCGAGAAGGAGGAGTGTCTGTCTAGTGGACTCAGAGCTGTCCCCTGGTCAGAATCCAGGGCAGGGAGTGGCTCGGAGCCAGAAACCTAAAAAAAAGCGCAGCAAGTCTATAGAATGGGGATCAACACCCCTCCTCTGTCTGCCCCCCTCCTGCCATGGTGTCCACATTATCTCCCTCCTGGGGTCCTCACCCCCTTCTCTTACACACACACACACACACACACACACACGCCACAGCCAGAGGGGTCTTATGAAAGCTTAAACCCAAGCAGTCGCTCCCCCACTTAAACCTGCCATGGCTCCCCAGTGCTGGAGAAAAACCCCAGCTCTTTGCCAGCATTAGAGACCCTGGATTTCTGCTCCCTGTTCTCTCCCGTCTTAGGGACTTCGCTCAGAAAGTTCTTTCCACCCAGAATGCCCTTCCCTCTCACCCATATCCCCATACTCAGTGGTTCCCAAGCTTTAGGGTGCATTAGTTTCACCCAGGGAGCTTATTTTATATGTGTGTTTTCAAGCCCCACTCCCAGGAGTCTAATTCAGTCCCTCTGGGCCCCAGAATCTAAAAGTTTAGAAGCACCCACCCCATCATTCCATACTATGAGAAACATTTTTACTTAAATCTGAGGGATCCAGGGACACAACCAGGGCCATACAAAGCCAAATGTCTTCAACATTAGATCTCAAACGTCTCCTTTCTCCGCCTTCTGAGCGGTAAAGTTCCCAGTGTGGGGACTCAAGCTCTGAAAGGCTGTTTTTCAAAAGGGCCAAGGCCTGGATGACCAACACAGCAGGCCTCCCCACAGCCACCTCTCATGTGTCACGAAACATTAAAAAGTACGAGCGATGGTGTGACCACTTTGGAAAACAAATTGGCAATCTCTCATAAAACCAGACATGCTCCCACGCTACAACCCAGCCATCCCACTCCTAGGGATTTAGCCGTGGCCACCAAAAGACCCACACCCAATGCAGCTTTCCCATGATGACCCCAGGGCAAGCCCACCAAAGTGCCCGTCGACAGGCGAGTGGATAAACCAGCCGTGCCATGTCCACACTGTGGGATGCTCTCAGTAAGAAAACGGAATGACTAGCCAAACGTGCAGCCACACGGATGAACCTAAAAATCCTCACACAGACTGACAAAAGCCCTGCAGAAATGAGCACGTACTGTGTGATTCCGTTTCTAGAAAATTCTGGACAAGGCAACAGGAATCTAGAATCAGAGAAACAGGTTGGTGGTTTCCTGGGCTGCGGGGCAGGGGCGTGGACTTTCTGGAGTGAGAAAAAAAGCTCTGTCTTTCTTTTGTGTGTATTTATTTTTTTTATTTTTAATTTTTTTTGGTGTCACCTCAGGTCATGAGGGATCTTGGTTCCCCAACCAGGGATCGAACCCATGCCCCCTGCAGTGGAGGCGCGGAGTCGTAACCACTGGACCACCAGGCAAGTTCCCAAAAGTTCTATCTTAATTGTAGTGGTAGTTATACGGGTGTATACATTTGCCAAAACTCATCAAACTGTACCTTTAAAATGGGTGTATTTTCTTGTGTGTAAATTATACCTCAATAAGAAACAAAGCAGAAGGGATATGGTAACTCTCTCCACGTACAAACAAGGAAATAGCAACAAGTCTATTGAGTGAAAAAGGCCAGATCTAGAATAGTGGGCCTCATAGGCTACTATTTGTGTGAACAAAAAATATATATGAAGAAAACAAGGATCCGTAACTTCCCATTGCCCTTTCTACCTTTTGTTCTTTTAACAAATACTTATTAAACATCCACAGTGGCCAAGGCCTCTGCATTGCGGATATAATGGTGAAAGAACAGACAGATTCCTGTCCCCATGGGGCTTCCTCGTGGGAGGAGGGACAGGCTTCAACTGTTCAACAAGTAACTAATTGACAAGCAGCATGAAATGCTTTGATGGTGAAAAAAGGTTGTGATGACAGGGAAGAGCAGCGGGTGGGAAGCCTGTTTTAGCTGAGGTGGTCAGGGAGGGCTTCTCGGAGGAGGTGACATTTGAGCAGAGACCTGAAGAAGAGGGAGCAGCAAGTGCAAAAGCCCTGAGGTGGGACCAGGCATGGTGCATTTGGGGAACAGGAGGGAGGCCAGTGTGGTTGGAATGGAGGGAATGCAGGGGAGATGAGATCAGAGAGAGGATGGGGTGCGCAGCTCTGTAGGATTTATCTAAGTGTAATAAATGCAAAGTGAAACTATGGGGAAGTTTTTGGCTGGCAAGTGATGAATTGATCTCTGGCTGAGTGAGGGCAGGGAGGGGGCAAGGAAACAATGAGGAAGGAGATGGGGGTGGGCAGGACCAGGGTGGGGCCATAGAGTGACTGGTCGAGGACAGGTTTAATATCTTTGCTGATCTGACAAAGAGGAAAGGCTTGATTAGACTTGAGGGTTGAGAAATGGGCAGAAGAAGGTGGCACCATTTGCAGAGAGGGGAAAACGAGGTCAGAACAGATCGAGGGCGAAGAGTGGGCACGAAATCAAGTATTTTATCTCAGGTGTCAGTACTGGACATCTAAAGGGGTGATGGGAATTCCCTGGCGGTCCAGTGGTTAGGACTCTGAGCTCTCACTGCCGAGGGCCGGGGTTCAATCCCTGGTTGGGAAACAAAGATCCCACAAGCCACAAAACAAAACAAACAAACAGTAGCAATAATGGAGCACTTACTGTGTGCCTGGCACTATGTGCTCTATGTCTGTTAACCAAATGCACCCTCTAAGGTAGGTATTATCATTAAACCTATTTCACAGATGAAGAAACTGAGGCACAGAGAGGTGATGTGTCCTGCCCAAGGTCACACAGCCAGAAAGTGGCAGAGCTGGGATTTGAACCCCCGCTGTCTGGCCCCAGAGTCTGTATCCCCAGGGAGGGGAGGGTGGCCCAGGTTAGGGTCCAAGCTCCTCACGCTAGTGTCCAACTCCCAGCATCATGATCCTTTTCACCAGTCATCTGACCATGGCTCTGCTCTCCCTGAAACCCCTCCTGGCTCCTCAGACACCCCCCCCAGATCAGATTCTAGTTTGCAGCCCCATTTCTAAGTCATCCAGTTGGTCCCAGTGCACCTCAACCCCACCCCTGCCCCTCTCTTTACATCCCAGCAGCTCCGAATTCCACTCCTA